CAAGACAGGAAGCCTAACTGCAATTACGTTCACTGACAGAAGGTCTAAAACAGATAGGGGCTTATTAGAGAGAGGAGCTTATGTTCAGTGATAAATTTTATAATTTTTATTGTATGATCGTATATTTATTTGGCTGGTGTTTGCTTACCTGTACCTCAGTGGCATGACCAACCAATATGACAGACCATGGAGCACACAGCCACACACTCAGCGAGAGATGGCTCAGTTCAAAACAAGACAAGAGCAGGTACATGTTCTGATTAGTACAGTATGTGCTTTAGTTCAAAATGAAAGCCAGTTGTAAGTATAAAACATTATTTTATGGATGTAAAATGAACTTTCCTGGTAACTTAACAAGGAAAATTATAATAAAATTATTTTCTGATTGTAGTAACACTACCTCTAAATAGAAAAAAATGTTAATTCATGATCCCATCAAAGTTTGGCAGCTTGTCCTTGCTCAAGATAATATCCATACCCTTCCTACAGGTACATAAAGTTATTTTGGCTTCAAACCCTCCACCTCCCACATCTCAGAGAATTCCAGTTTATCCCAATATTGCAAGGCTGGAAATGATGGCTGGTCATCAGACAATGTCTGGCCTGATTGGGGATTTGACTGATCAGCTTTTAATCTTGCCATTCATGTTAACTGGTCTCATGTGATCATACAGACAAAGTTTCAGTGCTATTGGTTCAATCTGCATGCACCTCGCTGTATGTTTGAGGACATTTGACCTGCAATCTGATTGACTGAAGTATTGTATAATAAAATATTATAGTTCTCACACACTGAATGCCATTTGTCTGCCATACAAGGCAACAGCATTTTATTAACAAACAATAAACCTGAAAACAGCATCTACAAGGACTAATGGATGCAAAAAATGCGACATCAAACCCTGAGCTTGTAGGCAAAAAAACAGAATGTCAACAATACCTAGAATGCATCAGACGAGCGCAGACTGGCAAAGGGCTGGGTGGGCAGGAAAAGCTGTTGCTTCTATGGCAAGAAACAGAAAACTGAGTCACGAGACCTAATGTGATGTGATATCCTAACTCTGGCCCAACCCCGGCTTCAGTGTGTGAGAACCTCATTTCTCGCCTCTTTCGCAAGCTCAGTCGCCGAGAAATCCATATCAAGCTCTTGTTTGTTTTGAGTGTTCTTTTGATTTGGCAACAACTTTGAAAAGTCCATTGATCATGGTACTATAGTACTTAAAATTAATAATTTTTATGAAGTACAGTCAGTATATTTACTCAGCTCAAAAATAAGATGTGACCTCTTGTCTCTAAAGGAAAATCTCTTGAGACAAGATATTTCTTGTCTTGAGAGATAGGAATCTCTCATCTTGAGAGTACATATTTTGGAATAAATCACAGTAGAAAGAAACCAATTAATCTTTGTTGTTAAAAATAAATTGCGGTTTTGTTTGTTACATCTTAGGAAATTTTGCATTCAGAAAAGAAGAAGGACCTGATTGTAGAGACAGTTCTTGTGGACCAGCTGTCGAGGTACGTTATACTTTTCGTGCATAACCTATTATAGTTAACCTCTGTGCCGGCTGTAACCAGCTGTGCAAAAACCACCCCCAGTTTCCTGTGCCGGCTGTAACCGGCCATAAGAAAGCACATGATGATGACAATTGCCTTTGCTACCCAGTCCCCGGTGACAAATAAATATCTGTACTATGTCATTTTATCTTTTTTTGTTTTCTTGTAACCTCATTGTAATTCATTAACTTGCAATGATGATGGAATTAAACTTATCATTATCATTATCATTATCATTATCATTGTCATTGTCATTATCATTATGAATAGTGAGGTGGCTTAGGGTGATTTTAAGGCTAGATGTTTACGGAGTGGAAGAAAGCGTGAAATTTGGCACAAAGAATCTTGTTGGCCAGGTGTAAGAAACAAATTTACCCTGGGTGCCACCTGTGCCAATGATCTGGGGGGAGAAAGCAGAGATTTCAATTCTCGACAATCTTCATCGGCATGAAAACGGTGCTGATGAATTAAATCATGGTTTTCAACAGTTTTGATCACCAAATTAAACCAAAATAAATCAACATCAATGAGGATTGTATATAGAGAGGGAACCAATAAAACTGAAACTTGCTGAAATCGCGCTGAAATGACAAAAGACAAAAGTAACATACAGAAGAGTCGAAGTGAGTTGTTTTTGTTCAATTTCTTTTTCACTTTTCGAGCTGTTACATACAATAGTTACATTCCCATACAAACTCTTATATTAATGCTGTTACGCAGTGTTATATAGTAATGTTCACAGCTCCCAAGGAGCTTGGGATGCCTTTGTCAGTACAGTCTCAATCTCAGTAGTCCTCATTTTGTTACATTTAGGGCAGCCGTTTCTGATCCAGAAAAAAACAACAGCATTATTCCTCCTGATGTGGGACCCAAACAACGAAAGCAAATGGAATTTTATAACACCAGGTACATGCTACTGCTGTAATTAGTCTAAATCTAGAAGGGATCAAGTTATGGCATTGGGGGAAAGAACTAGCCTGGGGAGGGGGTACTCCCAGAAAAGTTGAGTAGGGGTGTGTAGCCCACTTCCCAAAACCCTTACCCTATTTATGACCAAAATCTGCAATTTTTGCTACCCTACATGTATTTATGACCTGACCAGAAATTCTTTGTACTGTAGCTGGCACAGTTGCCCTAAACATAAGTTATGAAGGGCTTTTGTTGACAGTCTTATCAATAATGATGAAAAAGTAGCTTCTTCTAAGGAACATACCCAATTCAAGACTAGAGTGCTAAACCCATACCCAATTTAAGACCGATATGGCCAAAATCGATACCCTATTTATGACCACAACGGCTGAAAAACCCTACCCTTTCGGGCCGCACATACCTTTAATATAGCCCATATAAGGGAGTACCCCCCACCCCCGGGAGAACTACTGTAGCTAACTAGTAAAACTTTCCAAAAAATACCTAACATGACTGTGTCATAACACTGACTGCAGCCTTTAGGAATTATGCTGACTTAAGCTGCAAGCAGTGAACTTTCTAGAAATCTCTCAATGCATTTCACAGGAGTCCTTCCAAAGGTCCAAACACGGAAAATGCCCTGTCCAAGAGAGTGCGATTTGGAGCCAGAATTGTGACAAAGAATGGCCGTGATGCTCATAGAGAATTAAATGGGTTCTTCTTTTCAGCAGACAACACACTCACACTCTATGAATTTCACCAGTTTGGCACAAGGTTGGTATTGACATTTACATTTGGCATGTAATCAGGAAGATAAATGTGACTCAAGTTGTCAACTTCGGAATAATTATAGGCTAGTAAAGATCTTTTATATACTTTACTGAATAACGCAGCTTAAAAGAAGGTATTCCCTATTTTCTCTTTATTTTTGAAAATTTTTCTTGTGGTGACTACAGGCCTGGGATAAACTTTTGTTTGAATTGTTCAGTAGTCGCTAAGCCAGTAACTTGGTAATTAGAGTCTAATAATTATATACCGGTAGATTTAGCCAAGCCTGAAAGCGGAGCTCCTGATTGCAATAACTGACGATAAAGGAAAAAGAGAATTATTTTTTGTTGGATCAGAAACTCAAAAAATGATCAATTGTGAGCATGTAATTGTTCAGCATGGGGTTTTGCTGTTTTTTCCAGTTAAATTTTAACAAACTTTACCTGACAAGCCTAACCAAGATTGTAGAAATTACATACGCAATATATCAGGGACTTTCCAAGAGATAATTGTATAAGAAACATGTCAGAGGAGAAGTCAACAGCGCACCAGGGGTACTCCTTCCTTCTCCCCCAGAGAAATAACGTGACTTGAGCCTGCAATCCAATTGGTAAACCAGTAACTGGGCAGTGGTTAACTTTACAAAAACACGCAACCTCAATGAGCTCTAAACCTGAGCCCGCGATACAGTCACGTGATACTGGTCAGCAGATAGCTTGTTGTGACAGCTGTCAATTAACAATAGCATGGACGCCCAAAATCAAAGATATAGCTATGGCAGTGGTGCTGCTCTCTTAGTTTTCAAGGTATTGGCGTACAGACGGACGTACATATGGACAGTCACATGACAACCAAAATTTTTCAGATTGTTGGGTTAGCAAATTTTTTAAGGTATGGGGCTCTGCTCACGCACCTTCAGCACACAGGAGCTCCACTACTATTATTATTGATAATATTCAATCCATATTTGTCACACAGGTAAGCTTAATCACAGTATCATCTACTTGTATTTACTGGACTACTTACCAAATAAGATGCACAGGCACTGCCGAATTAAGGAGGCTACAGTTTTAAGGACAAGATTTTTTAAGGGTTTGAGCTAACCTTATAATTTAGTTGTGCCATTGAGCCCTCAAAAAATAGCATTCCAGTTGTGCAGCCAAAATAAAAATTAATATCATGCAGTGTCATCAGATGACAGTAAGTTGGGAACTAAACATTCTATCTAGTTACCCTAAAATGCATAAAACCCACAGTTCTAACAGAATGATACCAGCCTATGTACATACATTGTGGACTGAAACATGTCATTTTGCTAATCAACCATGGCTCCTACAAATCAAGATGCCCCACTCTCCACAGAAATTGTCTTGAAGTAACTCTGACTGGGTCTTGTGTACTCACAGGTCATCAGCTCTTCCTTTCATTCAGCGAGGCTGTTATAGCCATGTGCAAGGAAAGAAAAAAGGACAACCGTACACTCTGTTGGACATCTGTGTGGTAGGTTCATCATCATCATCATCTTTTATTTGCTTAAAAGTAGTATTCCTTAATTACAATAACTTACACAGGGTGAGGAGACCCAGAAAAATCACCAGTCTTTGGCCACCTTAATTGCAAATATTTGGTTTAATTACAGCAAAAAATACAAAATTATACAGACTAAAAAAGAATATAATAAAGGTTACATTAAATTAGTATCAACTGGTTGTGAACCCATGTATGTGGAAACATTTATGAGTACATATAATTTTAATGTTTGATGACTGCAACTTAAACATCATTTATCATGATTTGTGTCACAAAAAAAGAGTTACAAGTTATCAGTGGCATTACAAAAGGATTGTCCATTTAAAAAAACAATGTACTTTATTTTAAGTAGTACTTATTTCAACCTTATTTTAACTATTTTTATTAGAAGTCATTAAAGTTGAACTTCATGCATGGCATAAAATCAATTTGTTACAGTCTACAGTCTAATTTAGTAGCATCGTTTTTTACTTTGTTGCAATTTCAGGGAAGTAATTTATCTTTTGCGACATCTCCCCAAACATCTCTTCCCCAAAGTGTTAGGAGCCGCCCTGTTGTAGTGTTTAGAGTTTCAGAAGTTGATGAGCAAGCTAGAGAGACACAACTGTAAGTGAGAGCAAGTTATGGGAAAATTAGTTCAGAAGACGTGGGAAACACTTGACAGTTTTTGATCAATTGAAACCCCTCAGAACAAGGACAAGAGCCAACTCGAGCAAGATAATAATATTATCAAGAAGATATGCATGGTGATTGGCTTAAAATTGTGTTTCTGTAACTCAATAGAAACACAAAATTGGCATGGCTTGAGCAAAGAGAATTTAAATTTTGATGATCAAAGTAAACAAGGTGTTTTTTTTTTTTTGACATGAGATCAAGAGTCATTTAGGGCTTTTTTCCATGCACCCCTTCAATTTTACTTGCCCTGGGCAAATGTTAGCTTACTTTAATTTTTGATTTAGTTGGCGGATGACTTGCCTGGGCCCTTGCCCATTGGGCTGCAAGTGAGAATGAAAAGTTACTTGCCCGGTTGGAAAATCTACTTGTCCCGGATGACTGGACAGCACTTTTTTTGAGCCCTGTACAAGGCCCTACCAAATTAATGGATTGACTAAGCTTAAGTTTTAAGAAATAGAAATCATTTTTCATTTTTCTGTTGAGCTATAAATTATAAAGAAACACAACAGGAAGTTTATTAGGGATAATGAGAGATTCTATGGGAGAACTGAACCACAGTGTGTTTTCAAGTTCTCCCAAACTTTGACAAGACATGTACACAAAAAATGTTTTCAATTTCTTTTAGAAAACAGTAAAATAAAATAGGGAAAATCACTTCCTTAGATCCATATCAAAATGTAAATTCTCTCTGGGCTCATCATCATTACGTCAACAGCTCATGCTAACTCTGGATTTCTATTGAGTTGTAGAAGTATGGCCTTTAGTGCATGCTTTCTTATGAAGTGTCTTCTAAAACGAAATTGACAATGAGGTGAAAAATATTAAATATTTTGGTTTTTCTGTAGTAACAGTCTTGTCCAGATAGTTAGATTATTGTCTCTGTGGCCAGGCCCAGAAAGTCTTGTAAGAAATTTGATTTCTTTTTCTCCTGACAAGTTTGAGTAAGAACATTGTTTAAGGCTCTTCATGTTGATTTTAATGGCTGATCAAACAAAAGAAAGTAGACTAGTGTTAATACATGTATTGACTGCAATTATATCTTGAAAGATGTTGTTAATTAAAGAAGATCTAAATGTACCACTGACCACAGGTTTGAAAGCTGCCATTCTCTAGATGACAAACGTTTGGTAATGGAAACACTGGATAATCCACTCTCGGAGGCAGAATTACAGGAACAGCAACTGTTGGAAAATGTACAAAGTAGGTACAAAAATCAGTCAATGACAGAGATGATACACATGTCAGAACATTTTAATTAAAGCTATAACACGTGTTTATTGCTTGTGATTGTTGGGGTATTTAAAGCATTACTCGCTAGGAACTGCAACATTAACAGTGATTAATCTAATTGTGTTGAAAGTCAGTCTAGTGTAAAATACAGTCATACAGTGAAGACATGTATGTAAAAAAAA